GTCCTAATGAGCAGCCTAACCATCCTTTTAACCAAGTGGCACTAGTCATCCCCGTGCCAATCTTCTATCATCGTTAGGTCTTCAGCAGTCAACTCATCATTCGAGCCAAGATACTGATCGCCCGGGTCTGTGGTGACCTAAACACTTGTAATATGCTCAATCGTCCATCGCGATGGTACTCTAGACTGATCGTGGTCATGGTACGTAACAAGATACGTTACTGCTGCAGGGGTTCTCTCAATACCAGAAAAGATATAAATACAGAGGGTGTGATGGATTCTATGTACAGACAAATCAAAAGGGATACTAAAGGATAACTCTAACTCCATCATCACTACTTCACTAGGTATCTCACTATCATGTACAAGAGTTCTAAAAGAAGTAAGTCTCTGATACTCGCCAAAAATATCATTTACTATATTTACTTCTGAACTATTGATGAATCCATATTTTGATTGATATTTTAGCATAATTCTAACACAAATGATAAGAAAAATATATAAAGAAAACAGAAAAACTTAGAAAAAGAGAAGGAATTGAATTTTGTTTACATATGTAGTTATTTTAGCAATTGTGAAATTTTTGCTTAGGAATTAAGTTTTTAATCTTGTTTTTGTAGGAATAAATTGAGCAAGGATCATGTTCTTGGAAGTTTGATGACAAGGAAGAGGAAAGAAGCAAGTCTGGACTCCAAAAACTTAAGAATAAGAAATTGCAGACTGGGCGTGATCACTATTGTCAGTGAAAGTGATCACTTCAGAGCTCAAAGAAGAAGTGAAGCCTGGGCGTAACCACTATTGTCATCAAAAGTGATCGTTCCAGAGAGTCTTCAACTTGGCGAACTGCGCGTAGTCACTTTTATCAGAAAAAGTGATAACGCGCAACTACCTTGGCTCTGCATTGTCACTTTTATCATCCAGAGTGATAGTTCCAGAGAGCTCTCAATATCAGAAAAATGCGCGTGGCCACTATTTCTGGGAAAAGTGTTAACGTGCAACCAAAAACTCTCTGCGTAACTACTTTTTCTCATAAAAGTGATAACGTGAAAATCTGGAAAATTTTATAAATACCAGAAGCGATCCGGAAAAAAGGGGATTCTGTTCATTTTCAGTTTTTTTAGTTAATTTCTGGTTAGAGGAAGTGAGAGAGAGGAGTGGGGATTCAGATCTTGGAGCTTCACGAAGAGGAATTGGAGTGGAGCAAGCTTCCATGGCGTTTATGAGTTTCTTCTTCTCTTCTTCTCTTTCTTTTTCTTCTTCTGCTGCCATGGCTGTGTAATTCGTTCATAGTTAGGGATTGTAGATCTGAAATGAACATGTTGAATTGATTTGGATCTGGATTTCAAGATTTGGAATAGATTGAGTGATTGATTCTGAACTTCACGTGTGAATTGAATGGAAATTTGATTAACTAAATCCAGAGGAACCTTTGTCAATGGAAATTGAATTTGTTCTTCAGATCTGAACTAATCACCGAGATTTTAGTTTTCTTAGGGATAAGGAACTTTGATCTTGCAATCTTTTGGTTTCTTACACTTAAAGCAACATTGAATTGAATTAGATCTAAGGAATTAGAATGGTTTAATTGAATGTTAGGTTCACTGAGTTAAGGAATTAACCTCTGAATAGTATAAAGTGAAACTGATTGTCATTCTTTCCAATTGCTTGTTAATTCAGAACTTTATTGATTAAACATTGGAGTTTTGGTGAAGCAATTCCCTAGCTATGGTTTCTCCCTCTGTTATCACATAACTGTGTGTGCATTGTCTTGTTTGCTGCAAGTTCATTTTACTTTTAATCGTTCCAGTTTGCTGTTATTAGATGTTACCACTCTCCTTACAATTTCGAAAAAGCTTAAATGGTTATAATTCTATGAAGTGATACTTGAATCTAAATTCCTTGTGGAGACGATATTTGGATCTTAATTTTACTCATCACTTGCTGCAATCCTAGTACACTTGCTAGTGTAGATTGCTAACAACAACTATCTATTATTCTAATTCCCTCCCTGGGTGCCGTCATTTGGGCTTCCTGAAATGGTTACGTAAGGATGAGTCTCTACATTCATTCCAGGCATACATACACAAAGAATCCAATAATACAAGTCAACATCCAACATGCATCATAAAATCGATTCAGTTACACATTCAACTTATGTTTATCTCTCTTTCCTTTCAGTACTCATTTCATACTCAGTTCCATTCTCAATTTCTACTGCCCCTGGGATCCCTTGAGGTCTTCCTTAGCATAGATAGTTGCTGGATAGTCACAGCTACACGGATATAACGTGTGCTGACCCAGCCCCTTTTAGCAAAAATGTGATTAGGAGTATAGGTCAGGAAACGAGTGTGAGGCATGTGGTACTCCTACTCTCATTTATAGTGCACAATTCAAGAGGAGTATCCACCACCCTCATTTCCCCAAGACTTTTCAGTCTTCTCCATCTTTCACACTTCCAGTGTACCTCTAAACTATCTATACTTGTCTTTTTCATATTCATTCTGATTTCCTTTCTTTTTCTCTTTTATATCTCATCTTTTTATGTCTCTTTCTATTTCATTATTTCATTATATATTACTTTCTCATTATCGAGGGTTATTCCTCTCGGGCTCAATACATCATACACATGCTCAAATTCACATAAAACATACTTATCATCTATAATTCCAAACATATTTTCAAACATCACAGAGCATGTTCTAAATACATCAATCATATATTATCATTCAATACATACTCATTTCAAGCATTTTCACTCATATATACAACAGTTCCTAACAATGATATAGAGCTCTCCTTACCGTGAGACGAAGTTTTAAAATGGATTTTGTGAAAGGTTCTGAGTGAAAGGACCAAGATTTTCCTAGATATCACAAAAGAGAACATTTTGAGAAAGGAGAAACTTAGAAAACACCCAAAAAGAAAAACAAAGCTCCAAGAACTTACTTGAAGTTGATTGATGAAGTTCCCAAGCTTGGATTTGTAAGAAACTTAAGGTTTTGGAGAGATTTTCTAAGAAGAGAGGGTTAGGGGTCGAGAGAACAAGAGAGAGCTCGAAACATGGATTGTAATCAAAGTTTTCTAACTTGGAAACCCTTAAATACCCCTAGACTCACGACATTCTCGCTACAGCACCTAAATTCTTGCTACAGCAAAAAAATCAGACAAAATTGCACTTTGTTGTCTGTCATTCTAGCTACAGCGAGAGCATCCTTGCTACAGCGATAGAGCATTAGAATGCTTGATTTTGGTGCTGATTTCTCGCTACAGTGAAAAATCCTGCAACTCACACATCTAAAACTCTCCTAATTTCAAGCAACATGCATTAACAACTCACATCAAGTATAAAACTAATAATTAATAAAGTAGAGATGTTACAAATTGGCCCAATCCTCATGAAAACGATAACTTTTTATAATCATTAAAAGAATTAGTACTTGTCATAGTTGTTTACATCTATAAAACAAATAATTAAGAACATATCAATTTTTCTTTATAATTTTTTATTAGTAAAAACATATATATGTTATATATGTTATATTTTTATTAATTATTAGAAAATTTTTTAGAATAAAGACTTAATTTAAATTATTAAAAATTAAAAATACTAAAAGTGTAATTAAAATAATATAAAAATATAGCATTAATAAAAAATAATAATCTTTTTAACTAACATCACTTACTCACAACTTTCTCACATTTTTTCTCACATACATAATATTTCTTACATTCTCATTTCACGCACCAGCATATACTCACACACAACCTTTTTAATTGTTCATACATATTTTACACTTTTTTTTAACACTCACTTTTATAAATTTAGGAATTATTGAACCTTGGGATAATTTTTCTTGATCATTCATGTTTGGAATTCTTAAATCTTAACGTTCTTTCTCTCTTCACTTTCACTTTGGCTTTTCTTACACATTTTTCTTTTATTTGTTGTGCTCTCTACATTTGTTTCTAACGAAAAATGAATACAAAAGTTTTGATTACCATCTCTATAACCTCTAGGTTCAATTTTAGGTCCCCTAGCTTCTTGTATTTTCTTCAAGGACTTGTTTGTCGTTATTTTGGCTACATGGTCTTTAAGAATAAGTATATTTATTGGTCATCATGTGCACCAAACAATTGCATGACTCCCAGGTCATCATAGATGCAATAGTATAGGCTAAAACCAATGCTAAATTCACCACAGAAAAAGTAACTTGAGTAATGATTTAGTGCATCTCAAGCACTTCGTATAGTTTGTTATTTGAAAACTTGGAGATCAAAGGTTCTCAGAGCTAGGTTTGAAGTTGTGAGGTCTCCTAGTTCAGCTAAGGCAAATATCAAATCTTGCTTCAATCATGAGTGCTCCTTGTTTGGGGTCCAAAAAAAACTTGAAATTTTCCATTCTTGGTCCCTTTAACCCTACTTGAGAAAGGGTAATAAGGCACTATAATATCAAATAGAGCAACACGTAGTATTTTATGCAAGTTTTTGGAAGGACTTATGGTGTCTAATTGATAAAAGTACACTATAGGTATAAAACACGTGCTCCAATCATGTCATCTAGGTTGGAAAGGTATAATTTTTTACCTTGTTTAACTAGAATAGGCCTTGATGGCATGATTAAATACAATTTTATATCATTTAATATAATATTTTAAAATTTTATTTATTATTTTCTTTTAAAAGAAAAAAAATGCAATTTTACATTCTTTAATTAGACTAGATTTAAATTTAGAAATAAATTAAATGAATGTTGATACAAGAATAACTAAAGATTAGATTACTTTTCTTCCATAACCCCATTCAATACTATTATTCTCTGAGAATGTGCATAATTTTTCTCTCTCAACCTAGTGCATATGTTGCTAGCACCAAACTACTTTCACATAGAACAATAATTACAAGAAAATATTGAATTATCAAAATGTATCAACATTGACACTTTATTAACAACATAAGGTCCAATAGGAACATAAGGTCTGAGAAGTCAAATTAGGACAAGGTTTATGTGAACATTGAATCAAGCAACAAGGCTTGTGTAAACTTGTGAGAAGCAGAGTCAGGCAAACATATGCACACAATCATAGAGCCACTACAATCAGCCTCCCCTTCAGGTAGAAAAACACAAACTTGAGGTGTTGGTGTTAAATCTATAGGACCAGCATAAAGTGGCCTACCCCACCCAAAATCTGCACACTTGTAGATTGAGAACCTTGTCCATTGAGTTATTGTTAGTTTACCACCAAACTCAAGTTGCCTAGGCCTATCCAACTCAACATAATCCACTGTGGATCTCAAATACTCCTCTGAAACACTTTGTCTTGCCTCACGAACCAAACGAGTAGTTTTTGGAAGTTGTCCATGCACAAGGTCTGAGACAGTGCTTGTTGTACATGCTACACATACAACATTGCCATAAAATCCTTCTCTCAAAGGTGGGTTTTTAAGCTTTTGACGAGCATTGACTGAAAATGTTAGCCTAAGATGGTAATCAAGTGGCCTTACATCAAGGGCTTTCACCCAAGATCTCCAAATAAGTGCTGCCATTGCATCAAAAGTGGTACAACCAGCAGCATCAAATGGCTGAGCTAGAGTTTTAACACAATTTTGAAACTCACGCTTGATCCTATAACACTTTTGAACTGGCTTGGTTTGCCACAATGTCATTGTGAGATTGGAACCCTCTTCAATTCTCATGAACTCCATGTGGGGAAACGTCACCATAGGTGGGTCACGAGGCCTAAACATTTCCCTGTCCCAACAAGGCTTAGGATCAATCACAAGTGTTCCTGTTCTTGCAGTGGCAGCCCATGCACCAAGGAATTGCATGGCTCCCAAGCCATCACAGATGCAATGGCATAGCCTCAAACCAATGCTAAAGCCACCACAACGGAAAAGGGTAACTTGAGCAATGACCAATGGCATATCAAGCACTTTGTATTGTTCTTCATTTGGAAACTTGAAGATCAAAGGTTCCCAAGATGGGTTTGGAGCTGTGAGATCTCCTAGTTCAACTAAGGCAATATCAGATCGTGCTTCAACCATAAGTGCTCCTTGTTTGGGTCCAAAAAACACTTGTAGTTTTCCATTCTTGGTCTCTCTAAGTCTGCCAGAGAGAGGGTAGTAAGGCACTAAAACATCACCTAAAGCATAACGTAGTATTTTTGTTATAGGTTTTTTAGAAGGATCTATGTTTTCTGATTGATAAAAGTACACTGTAGGTGTAAACACACGTGCTCCAATCATGTCATCTAGGTTGGAAAGGTATAAGCTTTCACCTTGTTTAACTGGAATAGGTGTTGATGGCATGACTGAATACATTTTATCTATGGTCACAGGAATGGTCACGTGATGAAGATGCAACTCTTCAACCCATGCAGGAGCCATGAGAAGGTGCTAAGGAGATTATGTGAAATGTTTGCATTTGTAGTGATAGAATTTGCTGAGCATGCAAAGATGGGGTAGCTTGTTTTGTAAAGAAAAAGAAAGAAGATGCAAAGAGACACTTGAACTAAATAAGATGTGGTTAGTGAAGATTTATAGGTGTGATATTGGTAGCACATTAATTATATGTTATTTCCCCCCACCCAACTACCATCTTTGTGTGACATGGTTATAGTTTTTCAAGTCAACATTTACAATAATTGACATGCACAAGCTTCTGTAAAAGCAATATTCTAGTAGACTTCATTACTTCAAAGTCACAACTTGATTTCAAGAATCGACAACAAAATTTTATCAATGTCAATTCATCTAAATTAGCTCCAAATGTTTATTTTGCATTTATAAATAAACAAAAAAGCATAAAATTAAATACCATTTGTGGGTTATTAAATTATTAGTATACTTATTTAGCTACAATATCTTACATCCTACATAAGTGAATTTTTCCTTTTACTTTGAAAAAATTAAAATAAAGATATTTTCTTTCAAATTAATTTTAACACTTTTAAAGGATTTTTTAAAGTTTTTTTTAATTTTATTTTCTTGTATATTAAAGTACTATTCAATAAGGTTTTATTTATCATTTTTTTATTTTAAAATAACCTTTCAAAAAATATTTTTTTTTTAATAAATATTGTCATTAATAAGTAAGTGGTTCTAATTTCCTTATTACAAGATACATAGGAATATAGATAAAAAAAAAATTCGTCAAGTCAATATTTTTAATGCCATCAAGGAAGTTTCTTTTTCTAAAAAATTTACACTTTTAAAGAATTTCATTTTGTTTGTAAACACAATAATAATGTTTTTTAAATATTTTCTTTGAGTTAATACATTTTAACATGTAACTTTGATTTTCTCAATGCAATTAGGAATATAGGAGAGGGGATGAAAATTTGCCATACCCAATTATTTTAAAAAAAAATTCCTTTTTTCTTTTCTTTTATTTCAAAATATTTTAAGAATATCAAAATACTTTACAAAAATTTTACTATTTTTAATAGATTTCTTTTAATAAATAAAAGAGATTCAACTTTTTAAGAATAAAATGCTAATATATTCTTCACGCATAATTAAATTCTTGAACTCATATATATTTCTTTTTTCAAATTTTTCAAAATTCTTTAAAGATTTTGTTGGAGATGCTTTCTTTCTTTCATTTTCAATTTACCTTCCCCAATCATGAACTTGATCGTAACTATTAGAATTTAGAAATAATTGAGTGCACTATTCAAATTTAGAACATGAATGTGAACTTAGCTTATCATTTAAAAAGCTTTCATTACTTCTTGGAATGTTAGAAGCTTGAAGAAACACATTAAAAATACTTGTTAGGGTGAAAACCTAAAGTGGTGGTTAGTATTTGGATCTTTAAGTCTAAACAAGTTTATGCAAAAATACTAAAAGTATAATACACATAGTCTATGAGATTTATTTAATAGTAAAAATATTGACTAAGAGTCAAGAATTGAACTTAACCTTAATAGTGTACTGTGAACTAGTATAACCATAATTTTTCTTCTCATTATATTTGTAAAACAAACATATTATATTTGTAGTTAAATTTATTTTTATCTAAATCTATATTATTAAAAATAGTTTGCAACCTTGATTTTATAAATTTTTTGAAAATAAATCACCAAGCATCAGTAGCAAATGAGTTCATTGTTAGATTTTCTAACATTAATATTAATATTTATATTAATTTATAGATTAGCATTATTAAAATTATCATAGCTATATTGTTATTAATTATGAAATAAAATAAATGTGTATAGTTATTATTAATTGTATAGATTTTGTGATTAGGCTTTTAGTATGAATGGTCTGTGATGGGTTAGGTCATTCTATTTGCCTAGTGAGAGGTTCCTACTCTTATCTGATTAGGTTTTTATATATAATTGTTGTCTCATTAGACAATTACTTGTGTGTGATAATAGTAATTAGATACGAGAGTAGTACACGCTCACTTGAGAAGAATGATTGCTTATGGATTGTGCATTCTCATCAGGTATGTGTTTAACGCAATTATTCAATTGTATATTGTTGAAATTATATTGAGATGTTATGATGTGTGTTATGTATGATCAATGGTATCTTTATAATTTTATGTAATGTTCTTCATACATCACTATTGCCCCTCAGCGGTAGCACCATGATCTCCATCCTAAAAAGAAAGAGTGAAGAAGACATCAATCAAAGAAGAAGAGGAGGAAGAAGGGAGAGAAAGCTAAAGAAAAAAAATGGAAGATAATGATGAATAATTATATGCTAAAAAATAAAAAATAAAAATATATTAATACCATAAATAGGAAAAAATCTAATTAAAACATTAAAAATTTGAACACAAAAGTAAAACAAAATAAATATTAAAAGATTAAATTAAACTAAAACAAATAAAAGTTAAGTACCAATCTACTGATATAGTTTAGATGATATAATGAAAGATCACATATGAATAACTCACTTGTATATTTTATTGTTCAAGAATTAATTATCACATTTTCTTATACAAAATAAATATTTTAATAAAAGTATGTTATTCAAGTTAATATATGTACATACTTAAAAAATATTAAACCCTTTAAAATTAATTTCACTCAATTTTAAACCAAATAATCACCTGTTGGAAGAGCAACAACACCAAGTTAATCCCTTCGATCTTAAATTCCCAATTAACATGCTGACAAATGTACTAACTTGGACAATTAGACTCAATATTTTTCCCAAACTGAGTCTCATGTTTAGATAATAATGATTTGTTGCTTCATGTTTTGGTAATAAATATTTCAATTTTCTTCTTAAGGAAACCAGCAATTTGATAATCTAATTCAAGTTACTTGGACTTTAAAAAAATAACTTGCGTAAACCTTTATATTTTCTTGTATTTGGAACAGTTCCCGGTTATAACCTTATTCCCTTCTCTACTTCTTTCTTTCTCTAGCTTTTTTTTTCCCTGTTCACTTGGATTTCTTTCAAAATAATATACTACTAATGCAGCACCAATTGATCTCGTAAAAAAAAAAAATTGCAGCACCAAGTGTAAACTTAGTCATTCAAGTGTAAGCAAGATGGAAGAAACAATCTTAGAAGTTGCTTACAGGACAGAAGTGCTGCGTACACGCCCATGATCACACATTTTTATATTTAATGTATCAAAAGTCACTTTTACATCTCAAAATATCACCTGTTAATTTAATTAGAGATTAAGATGAGCCAAATGTTAATCATTATAATTAAAGCATTAGTTAAGGAATTAAAAATGAAAATATTTTTTTATTAATAAGCATTATTATACCCTCTTACCATAATTTCTAATGTACTCTTAATGTAATTTTAAATAAAAAACTTCATTTATTATTTTCTAAATCAATACTATTAGCACTAAATCACACTTGATACTCAAATTGTTTCCTAAACCTGTCAGCTACAGCAAAAACATCACAAAAATATATACCTTCATAGCTTTCATAAGGATATCCGAAAGCCCTCCATGTGGAAACAAAGAAGAACTAGGAGAAATCATCACAGGGAATTGGCAGCCCTTTTCTGAAGGATCCTTATGTGTTACAGTAGCCAAACCAGAGAAATCACAATCCCAATCCCTCTGGTCATTTACTTGATAATACATATTGAAGGCATAAGATGCATTCCCTTGGAGATTCAAATTATTACAAGTAGAGCCAAAACCAAGGGCAGTACAATCAGAAAAGGTACAAGCATAGTCGATGCTATCAGCCAAATCGTTCAAGTTAGTAACATCTGGATCCAAGATACACCATTTCTTCTCCAGGTACTTTATACCTTCTACTGGGATAAGGCCCTTATCCTTATGCTTACCTGTTAAGTCTAATTCATACTTTGGCTTGCCATCAAACTCAAAAATTCCCCAGTGCCTCTCAAAGTTCCCAGGAAGAACACTTTTATCATTCTCATCAATGAGGCTGAACATATACAAGTCAATTATACCTTTCCTTTTAGGGGTACCATTGCCACTCAGAACATGTTTAATCAAACCCAGGTTGAACCGCTTTGCATTCTGGGCATTAGCATTCTTATCGCCATCAGTTGGCCACCCAACTTCACCAATTATAACCTGCATGTCAGGATATCCTGCCCTGTCTAAAGCCCACAAAAGGGTATCAAGATTTGCATCAAACACATTGGTGTAAAGTGCATTACCATCTCTAAGAGGCTTGTTATTTTTACTTCCATCAAAGAATGCAAATTCAAAAGGGAAATCTTCGCTGCCATATAGACTAAGGAAAGGGTAGATATTGACTGTAAAAGGTGCCTTGTTTGAATATAAGAATTGGATTATTTCAATAGTAAAGTCCCTTACTTCAGGCCTGAAGTCACCAGCTGATGGCACCGGATTTGAGTCAGGTGAATAGTAAATGTCAGCATTGAATGGAACAGTGACTTTGATCTTTGAACCAAACCCGGCATTATTGATTGATGCTTGTATATTCTTAAGAGCTGGCAGAGTTTTCTTTAGATAGGTCCCATTATATGCTTTAAGGAAAGGCTCATTACCCACGGCAACATACCTGCAAAAAAAACATACATAGCAAGCATAACCATGTAGAGTTAGGAACAGCTACAACATGACTTTATTAAAGCTTAAGCATACACCAATAGCTATTAGTTAACATCAACAACAATATACAATAAGGGATCTATTTCCAACTCTTTAATTGAAGCGCCAAAATCAGCTAGAGGCATATCCAGCTGATACATCGGAAAGCATGCTATCGAACTCCTTCCAGAAGATTAATAATAATTAATATGACTTAGGATACGATCAAGACTTTAACCAAGAAACACGAAAGAAAGCAGCAACTTCAATAAACAAACAAGTAACAATTTTGTTAATATTAGTCTTTAGAGTTAATTTTATGCAACTAAAGATAGTAAAATTTATTAAAATATATTTATTATACATCAAATGCATTTTTCCCCTAATAAACGTTTACTGTTGCCTAAAATAAACTAAAAAAACTGACGTTAAAATTTTATAATAAATAAATAAGTAAAACAATAGAGCAATATACATAAAGCCAATATATATCTGCTAGGAGAAGACATAAAATCATAAATATCCTATATATATATATATATATATATATATATATATTATAGGACTACTTAACTTGATTTTGACACCACCAGTGTACAAGTAACTGGTGACATTTTCATACACCCAAGCATCTGCAGCTTTAGGACTGTTACTTATTTTGTCCAACATGATGTTGGGTATTGCCAACATGACATCGATATCAGTCCCCATCAAAGCTTCCATAATCCACTCATCCGCATCAAACAGCTTCAATTTTCGGAACCCATTTTCCTTCAACATCTTAACCACCTTCTTAGGTGGAAGCTGGTGGGTTGACATGGTTCCCCAATTCACACCAATCCAAGCAGAGCCACTCGAGACCATAGTTGAGATCACAAGGAAGAATGCCACTAGGTACCCACAATTTGGAGCCATTTGTTTTGTTAGTTTTTGTGGGTTTTGAAGGGTGTGCTTGGACTTTGCAATGATTATTAGAATGATGATGACGATGATGGGACAGAACCTCCAAATCAATAGAATGAAATGGGAATGTATCTATTCTAGGGAGCAGAAATTTATATAGCTCAATTTCTTAGTGCTTGTATTTTAGTGCCTTCACGGAGAAGGTGAACAAAAAAATTGAGTTCTTTAAATTTTTGCTTCTGAATTCTTTTTTCCCCCTTTACAAGTGCAAAAGCAAAAAATAAAAAAAGGAATGGGAAAATGAGTGATATACTGATCGAAATGGTAAAGTAGTTTGTATGAGCAAACTAACTTAGATACTACTCAATTCTGTATTTGAACATCTAAGTTGCATGAAGATATGTTTATTTATACTACTCAATATCGGCATTATTGTTGCTCTAAAGGAATTGAGCATACCTTCAAAAACAAACAAGGTCTAAATATAATTGTCACTACTTCTAATAAAAAGTCCATGTAGTTATCTCTATAGAAAATAACGTGCAATGATTGACCCAGTAGATATTTTAATTTATTGTCTAGAACCGTTCAATGTATTTTCTAGGCTATACAATGCTATACATGTTTTGCCAAATTCCGTAGGCAAAGATTTTCAATATACAATTTTCCAAAAGCCTGTTTTTAGAACGAAGGAATATTACTTGAAATGCAAGGATGAGCTTTGCTCTGGAACTATATTACCTCTTTCTATTCATTCTTTAGCTCACTTGATCTCCAAACTATTTATGTCGGGTACAGATTTAACTGGGTAGGAATGATCATTGAAGACTAACCCTTGCATTTGCAAAGACGAATAAGCATTTGAAGGTTACTTTGTGAATGTGTATGAGCAACGCGTATTTCTTTCTTATAGATAATATCAATCTAGAAACAGCACCACAATACTGGTTTAATTATTTAATATGCCCTTTAAAATATTAATAACATGATCTTCTCAACTCCCTACAATTAATAAAAAATTATCAGAAATCACAGTTATAAACATACATAATTTTGAGTCGTAATAGAATTTAACTGAAGTATGTTATCTACGATTTCTTCTGCAAAGTATTAATGAGTCTAGATAAATTACAAAGTATATGAATCGCGCCTCAGACGACACGTTGCATATGTTGAGAAACATTTGGAAATGTAAACAAATCTGGAAGACACCATTACCGAAAGCTAACACAATCAATAATTTACAATTTGATCTTTTAGGAATAGGAACAACATGAAGCCTCAATTTCTGAGAACAAAGGCAATTAACAAAACCTCACACGTATAAACATCAAAAGGAATTTTCATCCACTTTTGCCAAGAGAGAAGTTACATCACGCAGGCAGCTTGAAGTGTATTGATTAATCAATATAAATTGCAGTGACTGCACAGCTGTTTATTTGATGAAAGTCAGCAAATATGTTCTAATGAAGTGATTTAAAAGCAATTAATGAAGGATGAAAATGAGTCTTACCTCACATGACTTGTCATGAATAAGAACAATCAGATGGAAGTAGTCCAACATTAATTTGTCCTTCGGCAGCACGAGAAGATCCTATAAACAACCATAACCACAAGTTTCCGGTTTTTCCCATTACCTGGGTGAAGTAGCTGATACAACCGCAACTTGTATGAGTGGACGCCCAGGAAGTTTTGTCAATTCTGGACTCCCTTGAAGAAGGGATGCCCTTTCTGGATTTGAAAGCATAAGTTGTTGCATATCCTTTGGAAGTACATTGAAAACGGCCTGAAGGTCTCCTCTTAATTTCTGACAAGTTGCCAAGGAATCAACGCCATCTTTTCCAGATTGCTGCAGCTGATAAATGCATTTAAGAAGATGAATAAAGATGAATAAAGCACTGAATATGATTTTTACAGAATAAATAATCCTATTGAGTAGGTGTGTGATGTCCTTTAGCATATTATGAAACAAATACTTATATGTTGCCTTGCACGTAGTATACTACAAAACGGCCACTAAACATCATTTCTCCTTTACTCATAGGTAAGGGTATGCTTGCACGATGAAAATATGTGGAAGGCTTTAAATATAGTATGGAATTTCATTTCAATTCACCCTAAGCCTCTTGGTATCCAATGTGCAATCTCGTTCTTATTAACAAATAGCATGAATGACCCAACATGCAATCACTTAGAAAAATATATCTCCACAATATCCAAGAAAAAAAAAGAAGATAAATTATACAACATAACAGTAGACAAGTATGAAGCCATTTTTGAGTCTTCTTAAAACATTTAAACAAGTGTCTCGCATTGCATCTCCTATTCCTCATTGCCTGGTAAAAAATGAGTAATCTATCAGTATGTGGAATGTTTTCTAATCACAACATCCTTAGCCAGCTCCGAGGTCTTCAACTTTCAATGCTACTGATCATTCTAATCATGTTTCACTGCTAAGTCTCACTTTAGGAAACCAGAAAACCTTGAGATATCAACTAGCATACATGCAAATGAATAACATCCTAAATGAATAAAAGCTTTCAATTGCACAGCGCCACTAGGTTAAGTGAACTAAAATTACTAGGCCAAGGGCACCAAATTTTGCACTTTTGGTCTAGCACATAACCAACCTATATACTCTTCAGACTTCGCTAAGTTTATGCTCATCTCTTAGAGCCTGAATACAAGTAAATGCATGTGCAAGTATGCATCATATATAGAATACTAATCATGAACTGCTTGGGCTTGTTTAAGCTTGAGCACAAATGTTTAGTTTGAATGTGCTGAAGTTCAACATATAGTTTAACTAAATAAGCTCGAGCATACTAGCATTCAATTAGGGGTAGCTCATTTACGTTCATACTTTGTACCTAACTGATTATAAAACTCGCACTTAATATTGGCTTCATTTTCAGAAGCACAAAGCAAAGCTAAGTTTCATCTCACACTAGCAGTGAACACTACTGAAAGATATGAGAACTATGGGCCAGTATGAACCCAGTTATTGATCCTTGTAAATGAGGCATCAATGCTTATCCTCTGACCAAGATATATTCTCATTCAACAAAAAGAAGACAACAATGTACTTGTTTCATACTTCTCAGAGGATCAGAAGTCCAGTCAGAAAGGAATTCCTCATGTAATTTGATTCCAAACATCCCAAATCCAGATATATTACTAGGCCCAGACCAGACAAGATTCTCTCCCTCATAGTACCAGCAAATTAATAGCCAAAAATAGAAAAAGAAATCCATTTTATAAGACGCATTTTTCCAAGGGACACAAGGTTCCTATCAAGAACACATTAACATCAGACCTGAAAATTAACCACTTTAAGTTCCAGACAGACAAATGTGATGGGACAAATCATTTCCTTCTAGTTACTACAATGGTTCCACAGCACCATAATTTTAAGTTCCTCTCGGCAGAAGGTGTGGGAAGAAATGGAAAGTGAACAGGTATATCAAAGTACTATATAATAATAGCTTATTGCAAGTTATGTCAATTCAAATTTGTCATAATAATAAGTGAAATCCTATATAACTTTGTGGTTTCTACACATTTCATAATTTTAATTAAATATGATTCCTCCAATTTTATTTACATCATAGCTTCATGATACTAAGAACCAGCGCAGAATTAATGACCCCCAGCTCCGTAAACTTTTTCATGCAGTCCTTCAGTTATTGGGAAGTTTTGCGTAAATGATATAATCATTATTATACAGGATTCACCTATTTGTAATAAAAGAGAAAAAGTTTAAAGAAAGCAAAAGAAAAAGGGACTTCAAAAGTTTCATGCTATATGCTTGGTCTGAGGCCCTCACAATAAATCTTGGCTCTGCCCCTGTTCAAAACAGAATCAAAGTAGCCCCCCCATAATAGAAAGGAAAACATTCCAGACAAGTAATTCTTTTAGAGAGCATTTAGTGTACGAAATCATTTTTAGTTCCTGGGAATTACATTTTAGGAATATTATTAGTTTCAAAAATATACTTTTACTCTCTATGATAATTCATAAATTTTATTTACGCTATTAACTAAATTTATGCTTATTTAAAAATTAAATTAAAGTTTAAAATAAAAGAAAATAATATAAGGCATTTATAATAAGAGAAATGGGTACATGTGAGTATAAAAAAAATAACCTAATAGGATAGCAATGCGATGCAGCCGAACTCAAAAATGGTATAGCAGGATAACCATTATTCAGAAGATTTGGAATAACCTAATATATATATATATATATATATATATGCTGAAAAAAAAATTAATATCCAAATTAAAGACAGTCATAATTAATTATCAAAAATGAAAGTTAACACCCATTAATAACAAAAAATAAAAATAAAAAATTGAACTAGTTTAAGCCTCAATGCTTAAGAGTTTAGAATCACTAAATATTCAAACATAATTTTTTTAATAAGTATCATCATATTCATTGCTAAAATCTTTCGTCTCTGCATTTCACTTTCATCACTACTCTTATAGACCTCTTCTTTCAATGTCTTCATCATCACAATTTTCTTCTTTTCCAACAACTTCCTTTTCCTTGCCCTTAGCTCTATAAGAATAAGAAACAATTACAATTGTCTTATTTGTTAATCTTGCTTGTCACTTAGTGTAGGTTATAGCTCAATAGCCTAAGTTGTATTGGCAACAACTCCCCAAGTCAAGTTATCATAATAAACAAGTTATCTACAATACCTTCTTCATCATCTCTGCCTATTGCTCCTAGCAACCACTCAATACTATCATCAACATTCTTTAAGAGAATGAGATCCATCACATTATGACACTCAAAACATTCTTTAAAAGCTTGATTATATTTAATAAAAAAACAAATCTTGCAACCTTTATAACAAGAAAAATATTAGTATCACACTTTCACTATTATTAGACCAAGCACCTTAAATTGAAGTTGTTTGACATTTAATTATGGATTCAAAAGTACTCCAATTTTGCTCACATCCAAGTGTACTACCAAGTCAAACTCATCACTTTAATACCAATGTTTTTTGTAAATATGGCATGTGTGGTCCATAGTTCTTCACTATTCAACTGCAAGTTATGCAACAACTTATTAACACTATCATCTACATAATTACATAATGATAAAAAATTAAACTAATCTTTTACCAAAAGTCAATGTAGTCATTTGTCTTATTGTTGCCTTCAAAACAAAGAGGTCTTCAACTTTTTTTAATATTGACAACTCATTTGAGTACTGTGTATATCTTTTTCACCTGTAGACAATCTCACAATGCATTTACACAAGTCCTTCATCACTTCAAGATCATTTTCAATTTTTGAAATTACCATAAAAAAAATTGAGGATTGAGATAATGACCTATAACATGCGAAGGATGAGATAATGACCTGGAACACGCAAAGGATGATAAAGTTGATGCTCATTTTCGATCAATTATGGCAAAAATCTCCTTATACTTGTCTTCATTTCCTTTGAATGCATTTTGAATAATTTTATTGGCCTTATCCATTGCTTCATATGTGTAAATCATTATAGGATTTTTTTTCATTATCAAAAAGCCTAAGAACTTGCATAAAGGGCTCCATAGCCTTAAGAGTGTAAACAACATTCTAAAAAGAAGGCATGAGCACAATATCAATTGCCTTTTTTTCTTTAGCTTCTTTGACTATCTAGGACCTTAACCACTCATTTGAAGTAAACATTTTTCTAAGGTTGTTTTTTTATTTTTACCATGCCACCTTTGTGATGTGAGGAATATTGTGGCAAATCTTGTATACTCTAACTCATTTTTAAGAAAAGAAACTCTACTCTCATGATAGTTGGGAGACTTTAAGTGTGGCCCATAATTTCCAATAGCTTCAATCATTAACTTGAAGCTTTCTAAGTGCACAACATTTAAAGTAATTTCATTCCTATAAAGGAATCGCCTTATGCACTGAATTGCTCTTGCTCTTGCCTCATCATCACAAGTGTCAATAATACTTGTTTGTCTTTATGTCTTTCCAAAGCACTCGATATTATAGGTCTTTTTCTACTACATATAGTCAAAATTTAGTCCAACTCTTTGTCCTTATCATTATTTTCTTGATGCTCAACCAAGTATGCATCTTTCTCAACTTTTTTCTTCACATAGGCTGCTTTTAGTATTTCTTTCACATCTTTAGCAATCATTGGACAACTATCAACATCTCCCCTCACTCTCATTTGATGTCTTTAGGTAGTTTTGCACTTTTGCCACAAAAGTCACAAGTAACAGCCTTTCTATTTTTTATGTCTTTCAAACTATTCCATTACCAACTTATATCCAAGTTATTGTTAACTTCACCAATGCACAAGAAGAAATTGAGATAAGGCAAAGTTAAGATTGTGTTATTTCCTGAGACTGATAGGGAGTAGCTATTAATTTCGTTCCAAACATCCAAATTTCAATCATTTAGAGGGGTTCTCAGAAGTTAAAACATAACAAAGAAGAAAAGCATAGCAAAATAGAGTGGTCTCAACAAAAAAATGCCCTCAACATAGATGGTCTCACCAGAAAACGTGTGGGTTTCACTATAAATGAAGATGACTGAACTTGGCTAGAAATAGTGAACAGCTTTGGCTGGAGAACAGCCCCTAACGCAGATGGCTCACATCAGAAATGAGTAGGTCTCGCCAAAGATGAACAAAATGATTAGAATTCAGCAACAAATGGTGACTTGCACCAGATTTTGGCCAGAAAGGATGTCAGTTACTGTGAAGTGCACAGGATGAAGCAAATGTTGTTGGAGATGTGAGTGAGAACACCTAGGGTCAAGATTGTTGAGACAGAATGATACAACAATGTGCAGTAGACACCCGCAATGTAAAAGGGGGGTAACGCCTTAAAATCCTTCTAAAATTAAGAAAACGAGGGTAAATTTGACATTTTTGTCACACAGTAGATAGCAGCCACTCTAGCCGTGATTTACGACAATTCGTGCCGCTCCTCCAAACACTACACAAAACCACAAGGCAATTCACACTGTGGCAGCAGGGAGCCTGTTAGAGACAAGTTTCCGGAAGGGCTGAAAGTCTATAAGCGGCAAAACTATAGGAGAGGAATTAGGAAATAGGCTATTATATTCTGTTATAAGTAGTTTAGGATTTATCTTTTGTTATTGTTTTCTGTTTTCAGTAGTTTAGGATTTATCTTTTGTTATTGTTATTGTTTTCTGTTTTCAGTAGTTAGGAGCATGATTTTAGGAAACAGAATAGTTTAAATAATGGGGTTGCAGATGGGAATAGGCATCTTGGATAATTACTTCAGTCTTAGGGCACGGAGCCGCTTGAGAGCTCTCTTTTCATTGTTGTTTTCTGCTCAACTGAGCCAATTCAATACATACTTTAACATTCTGTTTCTCATACCTATCAGAGCCATTGCACACTGCCGCTATTGCACACTTTTGAATACTATGATATATGTATGTATATATGTATAATATAACAATGGTATTAGCTACACTGTCACCTAATTTTATTAATATAAGTGGTGAGGGTTACAAAATTTCAATCATAATGATTTCAAATAATTTTCAATTATAATATCGAATTAACAATAAAAGTTTGGAATAGACAATGACAAGAGGGAGAGACAACATAATTTAGGTTTATATTTAAAAACATTGAGGGATAAAACTGTAATTTATATTATAAAAAACTTTTTGACTTCATGAGAATTTTAGATTCTCACCCCTCCCATAAAAATATTTTCTTGAAAAACTTAATTAAAATAGTATTGCTGGAAATGCTAGTGTCTTGGGAATATTTCTTAGAGTACTCATACCACATATGAGAATTTAACATTCTTAACTTAAGATTATTGAAAAACTTAAAAGAATCTCTCTACCAGAAACCCCCCTAGTATGAAGATGATGTCATGCCATAAATTTCAAAGTTTAACTATATATGATCTTTTTACAGAATAATAGAAAAAATAATCAAGATGTTATAAAACAACAGAATTTTAGACCACTACATAAGGTTGGCTACATGGATCACACAATATTTTTGAACTCAATAAAAAATGGTAGGGTAACCAAAATGGAAAAAAAAAAGTATTGGAATTATATATGACCGTAAATTCCTTATCAAGCTCAAATGAAAGTTCATTGAATTGCAATACAACTAACTATTCTCTATAGTGAATGTTGGTCTTTAAAGGAACAACAAGAGAAAAAAGTGAAAATAACAAAAATGAGAATGTTAAATTAGATGCATGCCCATACAAGACATAGCAGGATAAGAAATGATTGTACATGATAAGAGATTGGAGTAACACCTATTAAAGAGAAGATGATAGAAAATATGGATGACAATTAACTTCTCTGATCCTAGTGGTAGATCAAAGTTGACGATTTTGTAAACCTTGAACCAAAAAGGGGAGAGCAAGATGGAGAGAGATCACATAGTTATAATATACTTCTACCTGAACTTGGGCATCACTCAAAGTCTATATATGGCCTTTCAATTTGATCATTCATCTAGATGGATAAAATATCACATAAACAAATAGTAAATAATAAAGTCCCAATAAAAAAATATTTATAACTCAGGATCTATAATGATAGATATTAAGTCCTTTGCAATTGCAAAAAATGAAAGTATCATCACATCATGGATTCATCTCGATATATTAATGAAAACAATAACTAATTAAATATAGATATGGATACAGTGCATTTTATTCATTTATTCATGTTGGGAAAAGATCAAGGCTTGCTTAACCAACAGCATACATTTACTTGAGGATCCCAGGAGAACAGATTACCTGCATTTCCCTGAGGAGAAGCCTCTCTATCTTGTTGAATGAATCCACAATTTCCAACTCAGACAGTCTAGAAATAAGCAGTTGAATGTCAGTTTTCATTCTTGCTTGCCTCCACAATCTATCTTGTTCTTGTTCAGCAACAGCACGTCTTCTCTGAAACCATGGCATAAAGTTGGGTCCATTCAGGAATCGCCTAAAGAGAGCATTCAAGTACAATCATGTGAAGATCGATAATAAATCTAATTTGCAAAGATCAGCAAATTTAGAACAAGATCGTAATATAAATTGCAAAAATACTATAATACATAGAGGTTGGTAGAAAATGGTAGTACATGAGATAATAGAGCAAACTAAGTTATTACCTGTACAAGTCAAGCCAGTTAGATCTCATTCGCTTTAATATAAACTTCCCTGGACCTCTTGCTGATAAACTTGTGAGAAATTCATCGGCATTGAATGGAGGTAGAGAAGGAGGATCTACATAAGGAGAAGATCCTTCAGATGGTGTTGTAGTCCTAAAATATGGGCTAAAAGGAGCCAAAAAGTTATTAGTAAGCTCCAAGAAATGTCTCCGTAATATTTCATTGTTCACAACAGACATTGACTCCTCAACTCTTGGTGACACCCCAGCATCTATAAGCCTATTTAAGATAGAAGTATCTGGCTTAGTTGTTGCAGAATAGGTACTCCAAATTGCTTCCTTATGTTCTGTCATGAGACAAAGCGGACCATCTTTCCGCAGCTTAACCGCACTCAATAAACTCGAAGGAGAGAACTTCTTTAGGGAAAGTTGTTGAAACCCAAGACCTTCCACTCTACCAGAAACTCTGCCAGTAGAAGACCTAGTTGAAAGGGGAACCCTATTTGAATTAGGAGGAGGGTTTCCAACTGAGATAACATGTGGAATGTTTCGGAGAGCTTTGAGAAAAAAAAGGTTTGTCACCCCTAAAATCATTGGGGGGAAAGCTTCTCCTTCTTGAACTGAGTTTAAGTGTGCAAATACTGGGTCATGAATTGTAAAATAAGGCCGGAAATCAACACTGCAAAATAATGGTGCAACCAAACTCACAAGACTGGCAACAGCCTCACAACATTGGGGAGGAGTTGGGGCAATGACGAGCATAGGTTCACCAATAAGTAACAATTCCCATAACAGCCAAAGCTGCAGCAAAAGGCCGCGGAACGAACCAAAAAGATCAGAATCATGAAAAAGACCATGCGGGACACTCTGATTATTAGGAACAAAAGATACCACAGAAGAAGCAGCCTCTTCAAAAGATACTCCAGTCTCAGTCTCAACAGGCAAACTATGAGCAGGCGGCAAGTTCACTTTAAGAGCTGCATTTCCAATAGGAAGATCCATCACCTTCCCAGGGACAGGAACAGGCCATTTTGAAACATAAGCAGCTATATGCTCCAATGCTTTCTTACCAATGTCAAAAAACAAAGGACCTACAATTTGCAACAAAGGTCTAAACACACTTGAATAAGGAGTGTGAGACAAAATGACCACAGACTTCTGCTCCCCACCTCTCTTCAACCTCTCATCGTGTCTCTGCCTATTAAACACATAACCATACAAGTATTTAAAACCATCATTGCAGCGCCTGCGAATTCGGAAAAAGAAGATGCAGTCGTGAATGCTGGAGCGGTTTTGGTGCTGTGAAACAGAATCAGGAAAGGAACTATAAGCAATTTCAAGTTCCTCATCATGGGAAAGACAACCCTGCGGGTAACACTCTTCTACGAGCTGCCCTTGTTCAAGATCAAACCTTATAACACAAAAAGCAACAACCCATCGTTGCAATGATTCTGAGTCAACACTCGGACTCACTTCCGTTCTCACTGAAAACGAAGGGGACCTACTCATATCTTCTAAAAACACACAAAAATTGTATTATAATGTAAACTACAAAACCAGCACCATCTTCAGAATTGGGTTTTGCTCATGACGCTAAAAGTGCAAGAAGCAGGATCCAGAAGTGATTGATGAAGATCTGGGAAAGGAAAGGGGTACCTGAATATATGATGGATCCGAAATTGAGAGGAAGAGTGGGTCCAAAATCCAAAATCCAAAATCCAAAATCCAAAATCCAAAATCCAAATCGAATTGGAGAAATTGTGTGACAAGTGTAGGGATTGGGAGAAGAAGAGGGATTTCCTCAGAATTAGAATTAGTTAGATTTACAGAAAGGATATGTCTGTCGGCTTCCAACTCTCCATTCCAAATCCAAGCTGCCGTTTGTTAGAAAAGCCAGAGGAGCTAAAATTTTGGTGACTTTTTTTAATTCAAACGAGGCAACTACTTGCAAGTTACAACACTTTTTTGGTGCTATATTATTTATTTATCAACTATTTTATCAGAAAATTAATCATTGATTTAAATGTTTTTCCTATGTGAGTTATATTTGCAAACTTTATATTAATTTAAACTTATTTAATTTATTATTAATAATATACATCAAAATTATTTTAATATATGTTTAAAATTAATATATATATATATATATTATTTTCTTTTTTGACAAATAATATAAGTAAGATAAAATAATTTTATATCTGAATTAATACAAAAATTATACTTTAAATAAAAATAGTGATCACGATCTATATAAATTTATCTTTCTTTGATATAAAATTTTAAATTTTTTAAAAACTTATTTATGAATTTAATTAAAATAAATAAAATTAAACATACATTAAATTAAAAAGATTTAATTTTTATTTGTCATGTGATTTTTTATCACTAAAGCAGTTGAAACTTAGATATTTAACTCTTAAAAATATAAAGTATCTTATAAAATTTTAATGTAGGAAAAATCATTAAAATTTGATAAAAAGTTTACATTTTTTTAATGAATTTGTTCAAGTGTTTCAAATTAAACATACATTCAAGACATCAATTATTATAAGATAGTCCATAAGAATTAATAATTTAAGCAAAACGAAGAATAAAACCTATATAAACCTTTATATCCATAATATGCATAAATGAATCAAAAGTATTCATTGATCAAAGAAACAAATTTTAAATATTACAATATTAACTTATTTAATAAAAACAAAATATCTTTTATGCACATTTTTACCTACTAAACACATCTTAAACAAAGAAACAGAGAGAAGAACTTAAAAATACTTTTTTATTAAAGCTGAAAAACTACACCTATTAGAAGAAGTTTAAAAAAAGATATAATGAGTATCTAATGGATACATAGATATTTTTAACATATACAAACACATTTGAGTTTATAAAAAATAAAAAATACATATATTCATGCAAAAGACACTAGAATGAGAACAACAAAAAAATGCTACTTATCTTCTTGTAAATCTTTATAGTAATTTTTTTTAAGTAAGATATTTGAAGAAATTATGGTAAGAATATTTAGGTGTGACAAAACTTTAACAAAACAATAATAGAATACTAGGATTATTGATCCTAAAGAAATTTGAACAAGAATATTTGAGGTAGTAAAACATTTTTTATGTAAAGATATTTATATACAATGAAAATATTGACATGTTGTAAGGAATACACGTTGTCCTAGAATTGTGTGATGAATTAGCATAAATATTGGTGTTCTTTCCTTTTACCTTTTATATTACTTATATTGTGTGAGTTAATTTTTAAGGGGAAAGAGAAGATTTATGTGATGATTATCCTTATTTAAAAGTTTTTAAATGAGAGAGGGAGGATTTATAAACTCTCCTAATATCATATTTTCAAGTTCTCATAATTTGGGAGATTTCTTTTCTTCTCTATCTCTCCAAACTCCTAAACAAAGCTTTAACTAACATAAAGAGGTTCTAGAATTGAACATTTTTTATACCTTAATTAAATATCTAGTCTTTCATAAAGATGATTACTACACAAAAGAAACTTTTATAAACTATCTTTGTCAAAAGAAAAAATTGTATTGTGAAAATAGGATTTAATATCCCATTCTCTCTTTTTACTTAAATCACTTTTAGTTGGTATCAAAGCTGGGTCTCTTAGAATTGAGCACCTAACTATGTTAGAAAAAAATATTAAAAAAGAAAATGACATACCAATAAAACTAACTCATTGCTAAAGGAGGATTTGTATCAAGATCTCTACCCTTCTTTGGTGAAAATCATTCCTTCTAGAGGGATAGGATGAAAATATTTATCAAATCCACTCAGTTTAATCTTTGAAAATAACACAAATAAGAATCATCATTTTCCTAAAAATGGTAACTAAAGTTTAAACTTGAAAACTATTAAGATTTCCTATATTGGTTAGGAATATAGCCACTATACTCCTTATAAGGTCTAGGAAAGTCCTCCTCTTATAAGCTAACTTTTGGGAGTGAGTTAGATCCAAGTTTCTTAACATGGTATTAGAGCCCATCTAGTTGCTAGAGTCCTAACGGTTCCTGATATAGAAACTAAGAGTGCCATGAATCCGATTATTTACAGGATAGTCAAAAGGAACACTATAATCTAATTTTATTTCTAAGGTAAAAATGTCTCTTAGTCAAAAGGAACACTATAATCTAATGTCATTTCTAAGGTAAAGATGTCTCTTACTTCATTATTATATTTTACAACAAATTTAAAATAACATATATGTTGATACTCACTAAATACATAGTTTAGCCTATGTAACACCTTATGTTTAATTTCCATAAATCATAATTTTGCAAATTTGGAATAAAATAAATATCATTTCAAATAGGGTTCTCAACCCTTGGTTTCATCAAATATTTTTAAAATAAGGAAAGGGGTTACAATTTCTATCAAGTCACTACTACAGGACCCATTCAAATACATTAGTTTCAAATTAAACTCCTAGTCCTATAGCAGTTCCATCCACCCTTTTCACTAAGTCTGGTGCTGATCATCTTGATTACCTGAAAAATGAATGTAAGGATGAGTACTCTACTCTACCAAAACACAATCAAACATAGAGTTTCACCTCCAGCACATTTCCAACACATTACACAATCACAATCACAGGCAGCATTTCACATTCATAATTACAAAACACAAATCCATGCATACGCACACCAGCCACACTCTCTATAACACTATGATCACAGATTTACACCATGAATGGTTGCCGGTTAGTTGACTTCATGCGGGCGCAACTACCTCGAGACATAGGCGACCACTCGTCCGTCTTGCATCAAAACACAACCAAGTTCTTGCCCGGATACATCACAATATACATCAAACTTTCGCTGCGGGTCAAGTAGAGCTAACATTGGCGCTGAAGTCAATCTTATCTTCAGCTCCAAGAAACTAGCTTCACACCCGTTGGTCCACTTAAACTCCTTTCCCTTGCGAGTCAGCTTCGTTAAGGGCAACGCTCGATGAACTTCCTGTAATAACCTGCTAGTCCCAGAAAATTACGAACCTCAGTCACATTCGTCGGCCTCGACCACTCAGCCATTGCTTCCACTTTTGCAGGGTCTACCACAATTCCTTCCTTTGACACTACATGTCCCAGAAATTGAATCTCCGACAACCAAAATTTGCACTTGGAGAATTTCGCATACAACTGTCTCTCCCTCGGAATTTGCAAAACAATTCTCAAGTGCTGGCGTGCTCCTCCTGAGTCTTTGAATAAATAAGGATGTCGTCTATGAATACCACCACAAACTTATCCAAAAACTCATGGAAGATCTTGTTCATGTAGTCCATGAACACCGCAGGTGCATTGGTCACCCCAAATGGCATAACCAAGTACTCGTAGTGACCATACCGCGTCCTGAACGCTGTCTTAGGTACATCTGCATCCTTCACTCGGATTTGATGGTATCCCGATCTCAAATCGATCTTCGAAAACACCGCTACTCCCCTTAATTGGTCCATCAAATCATCGATCCTGGGAAGTGGGTACTTGTTCTTGACTGTTACCTTGTTCAGCTGCCGATAATCTACACACATCCTCATGCTTCCATCTTTCTTCTTCACCAAGAGCACTGGTGCTCCCCACGGTGACACACTCGGTCTCACAAACCGTTTCTGCAACAAATCTTCTACTTGCTTCTTGACCTCCGCCACACATCCTGTAAGGTGCCACAGAAATTGGGCTTGCTCCCGGAATGAGGTCAATAGCAAACTTTATCTCCCTCTCAGGGGTAGCTCAGAAATATCTTCAGGAAACACCTCCAAGAAATCCCTCACCACCGGATATACTCCGGCTCCACTACACTTTCAGCTTCCATTGAAAATATAACCATGAAAGCCTTGGCGTTTACTGTGTTCTCCCACACTCCCCGGCTCATAAGCTTTGGAACCTTTGTCATTGTCGCACCGAAGATCAAAGTCTTCTCCCTACAGTCCAGCAGTACATGGTTGGCAGCAAGCTAATCCATTCCCAAAATAACATCCAGTTTAGAAAGAGGTAAACAAATCAAATCCACCTCAAACTCCCTATCGTGTACCATTATTGCACACCCCAGACACACCCATGACGTCACAACTGGCTTACCCGTAGGGGTAGTCACCACTACATTACACGGCAATTCAGTCACATACAAGCCCAGACCCTTCACACAATTCACAGATATAAAAGAGTGCGTAGCACCTGAGTCAAACAACACATCAAGTAATCTGCCTTTAATAATGCATTTACCTTGGATCAGCTCTTCTGATTGTGAAGCCTCTGCCCCACTCATAGCAAAGACTCTCCCGGGGATGCTCGGCTTCTGCCCCGTATTTGGCCTTGTACTTCCTCTTGATTATGGCCTCTGAGCTGTACTTGTACTGCCTCCCCTCTTGGAGGCCCAGCAATCATTGGCAACGTGCCCTGACTTCCCACAATTGCTACAAGTTATCCTTGGCTATGGGTAGTCCTTCACCATGTGTGGCCCTCCACACCTGAAGCACTTAAGCAGCCCCCTGAAAGAACTCGATCATAAACCACTTCCACTACTCTTCTCTTGAGAAGAACTCCCTAGGGATTGAGAATTATTCGAGCCTGAATATGGCCCCTTTGAGAACCTCAGAGTCTTCTATCATGTCTCACTGCACCAGCTCCCCTAGTGTCCACTGTTTCCCCCTTGAGTTGGCTTCAAAGATTCTGCTCTTGCTCACCAGAGTAGGCAAGTCCGTCAGTTGAAACACACTGATTGTAGCCCGGATGTCTTACCTCAATCCATGCTCAAACTGAGCACACAGATCCTCCTCTCTATCACCATGCTGATAATGAGGCCAGTACTTCATCAACTCTTGAAACTTAGCTGCATACTCTCCCACGGTCATGTTTCCTTGCTTCAACTCAAAGAACTCCCTAGCTTTCTGCTTCCTTAGGTCCTGGAGAAAGTAGTTTCCCAGGAAGATGG